AGTGAACTTTTACCTAGAAAACTGTCCTTATCATAGTGGAAATAAACATTTTGAAACACTCTAAAACCAAAATGAAGCAACTGGTAGAATGAAAGACCCTGTGAATAATCTTCTGTCATCTATCTCCTCAATGTGGTTATCCATTAACATAAGGCATAATAATAGAACCTACCTCACAAAGTCATTGGAAAGATTAAATGAGATAATTAAGTGTAAAATGTATTGCAAATACAAAACCACATATTAACATTATCTATGGCTTACTGTATCTTTATTTATTTTATTAAATATTTCCCAATTACATGTTAATCTGATTCAGGCAGCACTCAGACTACAGGGTCACATGTTATGACATCTGTGTGTTATACCACTTTTCTAGTATAATTAATTCCTGACTTAAAATGTCCTGTTGGCTGCTCATGCTAACCACATGACCCTAAACTTCGGTCCTTCAAAGGTTGTAATATTCTATGATTTGTTCCTACATAACATTGCTATTTCACCATCAGATAACCAATGTATATAAGAATGTGACCCAAAAATAAAATAAAATGAGAGAGACAGAGAGAGTGTGTGTGTGTGTGTGTGTCCAAGAGTCCTTCTCTCCAAGTAGATTACATTCTACTGAGGAAATATTGTACAGCATGTTCACAGATAAGTAATTACAAAGCATATACAAAATAAATATGCATTTTTTGGGGGGGAGGGAAGGTAGTCATTAACAACTGAGGAAATAAGTGATTTCCTCAGTTGTTGGTAAGAAACTTAAAGGAGGTAGTCTTTAAGTTCAGCTAATAGATGAAGTGAGGAAAGAGAGTATTCCAGGCATTTGGGAGATAGTCCATACGAAGGCTGAAACCAAGTTGTGAAGGGCTTTAAACGTCAACTGAAGAAGTTCCTATTTCATCCTTAAGGCAATCAGAGGCTGCTGAAGCTTCTTGGGCAAGGAAGCAGAATAGTATGACAATTTATATTGTGCACTTCAAAAATATTGATTTTGGCACAATGAGTTAGAGAAAGGAGAGATTTAAGATCGAACAGTCAAGACACTATTGCAATAGACAAGGGAAGTGGCAATGAGGGCATGTACTGGGGTGATTATGGTACAAAGAGAAAGAAGGGGATGGATGTGAGATATGTTGAGGACTTGTCAATTAATTAAGAGTGAAAAGTCAAGAATGATTTAGAGGTTGTGAGTACAAATGACTTTCTGAATGCTAGTACCCCTGACCAAAACAAGGAAGTTAGGAGAAGGGGTAGGTTTAAGAGAAAAGATAATGACTTTGTCTGGGACATGTTGAATTTGAAATGACTATCATACATCCAGTTAGAGATTTCTTGGAGGTAGTTGGAGATTTAACAAGGACAAATGAGAGCCAGATAATTATCTTAGGCCCTGATCCTCTTGACATAGGGCTATCCTAAATTGTCCTCCATCTTTATCACTTTCCATATTACTAAGTAGACGTCAATGGATGTATGATCTCATTGATGTGGGTAACATCTCCACCAGTATAAGCCATAAGCCACCCCTGCTTTCTTATCCTTTTCTATTCTTGTCTAAATTCTCTAAAAAATATCATAGAGGATCTACCCAACTACAGGAAACCCAAAAGGAAATGACAAATCTAAATGAGCTCCTGATTACTACCAACGATGACTTGCTTGTAAGAAACTGGTTAAATGATATCTTAAAGGAGATGGATGATTAGAAAAGGAGGTGGGCTCATCAGATAGTAAGACCAAGGGATAGATAGATAATAATTAGTACAAGTAATTCAATTATGTGCACAAACTGTTTGAAGACCTAGAGGAAGGCATCCAATGCCTTGGGTAGTTCTCTAAAATAAAAGGACAAGAATTTATATTCCTTAGAATATATATTCAAAAATCTATTAAAAATATCATTTTCCAAGGAATGTATACTCTTAAGAACATGAGCTTTTCAAGATGATTTCAGAAAAATCTGGAATGACTTACACGAACTGATACAAAGTGAAGTCATCAGAATCAGGAGAACGTTGTACACAATAACAGCAGTATTGTATGATGAAGAACCGTGAATGACTTAGCTATTCAGAGCAACACAATGATATAAAACATTCCCAAAGAACAAAGGATGAAGCATACTATCTACCTCCAGAGAAAGAGGTAATATTGTTTGAATATAGACTGAAGTATGCTATTTTCACTTTTTTTTACTTCATTCTTTTTCTTTTATTTCAGGCTTCTTACACAAAATGACTAATATGGAAATGTTCTATATGATTGTACACATATAACCTATATCTGATTACTTCTGTCTCAGGGAGGGGGGAAGGAAGAGAGGAAGGGATAAAATTAGGAACTCAAAACTTTTTTAAAAATGTTAAAAATTGTTTTAACATGTAATTGGGGGAAAATAAAATATATTAAATTTTAAAAATATTTAAGTTTTTGTTATTATTTTGAAGGTAGTTTGATATTGTTAAAAAGAGCACTGAAATAGAAGGGCCAAAAAATAGGGGTTTAGAATAGATGCCAAGATAAAAGATAAACAATGTTCTGAATAGTGCAAACATATTCCTGTGCAATTAAAATACAAGTCCTGATTGGAACTAATTTTACTTTGAACAAGATCCTTATATGGCAATTAGTATAATTAAAAATTATAGATGGAGAGATTGAGACAGAGACTTAAGCTATTAGGTCAGGTAGCAAATTAGTAGCAAAATCAATCAATAAGCATTTATTGAATGCAGAATTAGGACTAAAACCTAATTTAGATTTTAGTGGATCATCATGGATCTACTCATGGATTACCATATTTATGCCCAAATAATGTATACAAAATAAAACATGATAAGAATATAACACAGCAATAAAACATATAAAAGAGATGCAAAAGAAATAATTGTTTGAATTCTGAAAAGCAGGGAAAGCTATTATCCCAACTGGAGGATCAAGGAAATCTTTATGTGAGTTATGTAGCTAAGCTGGACTTTACATGATACAGGAGATTTAAACATGTAGAACATTCCAGCTGTGGAAACTAAGGTGAACAGAGGTAGCAAAGTATTAGGATTTATATGAAATAAGTAATGAGTGAGTGGGAGATAGAGTCAGAAATATTAGGGTGAGAGTTTGTGGAAGATCTTCTGTGGCAAGTTTAATTGATAAATAATGAGGATAGACTGAAGGGTTTTAAGCAGATAAATAACTAGTTTCTACCTATAATTTTTAATTATACTAACTGCCCTATAAGGATTTTGTTCAAAGTATAATTAATTCCAATCAGAACTTGTATTTTAATTGCAGAAAAATGGATGATAAAGGTATTTTTAATTTAAATAATTCTCAAATATTATTCAGTCTCCAAAGAAATTAATACCAGCTGTTAAATTTAACAAACATAAAACAATAAAACAATTTCATGTCAGGTGCTTGATTATCAAAAATGTGTTTTTAGTTCTGTAACAAAAAAAAGGGAAAGGACTAAGCCTATGATTTCACTGGTATAGGGAGGTCAATAAAGAGAAAAATTCTTCTACCAATGCAAGTGGTACAAGTCATGTGATACTTCCCTGAAATACTTAATATTATGTCACATCATCTAATATTTCCTTAAAGTATTAAAGAAATTCTAGTATTATTATTGCAATAATATAACATATTTAATCAAAGATCTAGTATTAGCATCAATGTAATGTAAATTTAAATCAGAAGACAGTGTACAATACTACAAAATCTCTCTAGTGGGTAACAGAATAATAAATGTGTTTCAATGTAATAAAATTATGCTTTTATTGTTAAGAAAATGAGAAAAACTGCAAAAGTGGAATATAATGATTCTATGAGACAAGTTAAACAAATTTGCTTATTTTGAAAAAAACCACACTGTAAAGGGGTTTGTCTTGGTGCATGTTGGATAGTGTCTATTGTATCAAAAATAATATTTTTTAAACTTAAATAATTAAAAACCGAATATTAAAAGAAAAGTTAGGATAATAACACAAATCATCAAAATATTTCCATTGATTCTAAAAAGTTCACTGCTGCCAAAACTATCTTCTTAATATTAATATTCTCCTATAACACAGTAACACTGTAAATCACAGAACATCATAAACTCACAAGAATAAAAATTACAGGTGGAACATGAGCAATGAAAAGGTATATTCATAGTGGATATATGTAGGATATTACCAACATCACTTGCATATAAGAAATAATGTATGAAAGACATCATTAAGGACTTTTATTATCAGAAAATTATTTAGGCAGGTCATATACTAAAGTAAGGGATAACAGTTAGACAGCCTATTCATTATATAGATATCCCTCAAATATTAAAAGAACCAGAGGTAACCCTCAGTGTCATTACATAAATTATTTATGGAGTATTTTTAAAAAGAAATAGATGAAAAACACAAAGAATGAGAATGCAGGTAGAGGCTGCAATCTACCTGAGATGGAGTATACTCCAAGTTGAAAGACTTATCTAAACTATATATTCAAGTCTAATTTGAGACTCTTGTGCAAGAACAGTTTTAGTTTTTGGTAATGCTCAAGGGTTCATTTTTATTTCCAATTTAATTGAAATGGAGATTCTATTCCAGAGAGTAAAGTCTGTATTAAGATCTTTATTTAGATTAGTACTAGAGAAAAAAAATACCAGCTCACCAATTCAATATGTATAGTTAACAGAACAGTATTTTGAACAATGTAAAAAGCTTTGCATTTTCACACATCCAACTTAATATCCTCAACCATATTTTTCCATAACAATAAATTATATTTTGAATGTTACTGTTATTACCACGACTTACTCATTGTTTTAACATGGGTAAATATTTCTATAGCACTAGTGATTTTTCATTGTACTGAAAAGATTTCTGTGAAAAAGGCAAGGGCAATTAAAAATTTAAGTCAAACAATGTATTGATTTTTTTAAATGGCTGAATAAAAGTTTACTGAAGAAATAAATCCATATGAGTTTCAAAACTTTTGCTCTTACTTACATGCCACTTCCAGAGATGCATTGCGACTCATTGCCTCACCAAGATAGTTCCTTGCCACACACACATAGTTTCCTTCATCAGGCTTGCTTCTACGTCCATGCACGATACGCAAGAAAAATAAAGATCCACTAGGCAGCAGCATGCGGTGGGATCGGGGATCATCTTTGTCAGTTTCCACCCTCTCACCATCTTTATACCACTCTATAGTAGGAGTTGGCCTGCCTTCAGCTTTGCAGTTCAAAGTTGTTGGCTCTCCTTTAGACACAATAACATCTGAAGGATGTTCAACAATCCTGGGAGGAAAATCTTCCTGGCGAAGACGTGATCCTAAAAACACAAAATAGAAAGTAAAATTTTTACATTTTTACATTTTTAATTTTGTCTTTATCTTGTTTCTCTTCTTCTACAACTACAATGTACTGAATCTAAACCATTCATTCATTTATTCATTCTTTCAACAAAACACACTGAATTTGGATATAAAATTTGTCTTATCATAGCAAATTAAATACATGAAAAGACATCTCAAACAACTGATCTAATCCAACTTTATTCATTTGGCTTCTTCAATGAATTACCTATTGTTCTTGAGCTGCTCCTCAACATATAAATGTTCCAGACATACATCTTTGTTTCACATCCTTGATATTCCTCACTGGGAACTGCCCCAAAGGACTTCCAGGTAGGGTAACCTGTCTGCACAGCAGGCATAATGTCCAATCCTATCTATTTTCATAGTAAAGGCCTGATTACCTACTACTGCCCACTTGAATATTACAAGATCCACAGGGACTGTCTTCTTAAACACATTTTTCCCTACTTTACTAATTCACAATTCATACCAAGCCACATTAATCTTCTTCGGGTAGAAAAAGAGTCATGTTATTCATCTCCTTAAAATCCTTCAGTGTATCCTCATTATTTACCAAATAAACTTGCCACAGAAGATCCCCTACAAATTCTCACCCTAACATTTCTAACTCCTACTCTATCTCTTCTTTTCCCACTCACTCCTCTTCACTCATTTTACATAAATCCTAATATTTTGCTACCTCTGTTCACCCTAGTTTCCACAGCTGTAATGCTCTACGTGTTTAAATTTCCTGTATTATTTAACGTCCAGCTTAGATACAAAACTCACATAAAGATTGCCTTGATCCTCCAATTGGGGTAATGGCTTTCCCTGCTTTTCAGAATTCAAATAATTATTTCTTTTGCATCTCTTTCATATGCTTTGTTGTTGTGTTCTATGCTTATGTTTTATTTTGTGTAAGTTATTTGGATACAGATATGATGATCCATCAAATTAGAGACAATATCTTCTCTGATTTCTGCTTCTCTTCCAGCTTCTAAGAAGCATATTATATTTAAAGAATATTTGTTGAAATGAGATTTTTTAATATGGTCTGTATATTCAAAAATGGAGACTTAGATACTTAGGTGCAGCCCAGTTTAAATGAAGTAATCTTACAGAGATGGGACTCAAGTTAGTGACATCATGTGTATCATGGATAACTAATATAGTCTGGAGTGATTCAGTGTTATTCTCCCATTACCAATAACAGCTCTAAAATACTTCCTTGGTCCATGACTTCTTCCACCAAAGAAATGCTAAATTGTCTATAACTTAGGAGATAAGTCTTAGGGAGATGCCCAAGGTTAAGTGACTTACCCATAATCACAAAGGCAGTATGTGTCAGAGGCAGAATTTTAACACACATCTCCCTGACTTCCAGCACTCTGTTCAATGTAGCATTATGCCTGCTACTCTCTGCTTTCCTCCTCCTCCTTCTTCCTCTCTCTGTCTCTGTCTGTTTCTGTTTGTCTCTGTCTCTGTCTCTCTTTATAACCAACTCTCATTTGATCTCAGATGCTCAGCATTTATAGCCCAGGTAGTAGATAGCTAGATATTTGAATAACATAATATCAACGTGGATAGTTGACTATTTGAGAATAAAGTTGCTCTAATGGGGGTAAATTATTTAATAAAAATCAAATATATGATTCTGCTCAATAAAGATGGAAGGATATTAAATTTTTTAAGCTTCAAAAAATCAAAAGTGATTATATTTAAAGTAACCTGTGATATATAGCTCTTTTTTTCTTCTAAATTTGAAAAGGTTCCAATAACTTAATTTGAAATATAAATAGACATAATTTTAAGCAATTTTACTGTATATTTCCTATTGTAACAGTCTAGAAATATGTCCAGAATTTAATTCTAATAATCATTATAGTTCCAAAGATGTTACGGTAAAGGCAGAGACCTGCCCGAGCTCTCCCAAACTCCCCTCCAAACAAATTTAAAATAATGCCTGAAAATAAATTCTGGAATGGCAGAACCAACAAAAAGATGGGGTGAAACAATTTTCCAGCCCAAAATAACTTAAAAGGTCTACAGGAAAGGTCAGTCTCACTGGGGTGAGAGTTAAAGGCATTGATAAGTGGTTAAGTGGTTAAGCACAGGCCACATCCAGGAAAGCCAGCAGCAGGCCTTGTGAACAACTGGGTCAGCATTAGAGGTTTCTGAAGCCCTCAGCCCACAGACAATAAGGGAGTCAGGTAACTGCTCAGAATGAGATTATTATTTGCTGGCACTGGTGTAATACTCTATTGTATTGCCCATACATGGCTCTGGTGGCAGTCCCAGAGCAAGGAGCAACACTGCAACACTGGAGAGTGTGGCCCTGGGTGAGTGAGGATGCTGATCACAGTAGTGCTTCTGGTCACTAACAGACCAGAGAACAGGCCAGGAGAGCAGTGACGATAGCACTCCTTAGATCATACCATTGTGGAAGACCTGAAAACTTCAGACCCCAGAACTAGCTCTGAAAACAACAGAATGAAAAACCTGAAGATTGGGAGAGTGCCCTCACTACCCCAGAAACAGAGCCCAACTTTAACATAAAGTTAAAAGTCAAGAAATAGTCTAGAAAAATGAACAAACCACCAAAAAAGAACCTAATCACAGGTAGTTACTATGGTAAAAGGGAATATCGAAACACATACTCAGAAAAAGAAAACAAAGTCAAAATGGCTCTATCCTAAGCCTCAAAGAAAAATGCGAATTGCTCTCAGCCCCCCCCAAAAAAAATTCCTGAAAGAGCTCAAAAAAGATTTTAAAAATCAGTAAGTGAGGTAAAGGAAAAATTGGGGAAAGAAAAAAGAGTGATGCAAGAAAATAATGAACAAAGAGTTAACAGCTTGATAAGAGCCACAAAAAATATGGAGGAAAATACCACCTTAAAAAAATAGAATAGGCTAAACAGTAAAAAGAGGCATGAAAATCCACTGAAGAGAACTCCTTAAAATTAGAATTGGTGAAATGGAAAAAAAAAGTTATACAGAAATTCACTGAAGACAAGAACTCCTTAAAAAAATTGAATTGGCCAAATGGAAAACAAAGTGCAAAAGCTCACTGAAGAAAATAATGCCCTAAAAATTATATTTGGGCAAGTGGAATCTAATGGTTCCATGAGACATTAAGAAACAATACAACAAAAACAAAAGAATGAAAAAAATAGAAGAAAATGTGAACTATTTCAATGGGGAAACAACTGACATAGAAAATAGATTGAGAAGAAAAAATTTAAGAATTATTGGACTACCTGAAAGCCATGATCTAAAAAAAAAAAAGTACCTGGACATCAAATTCCAAGAAAATATTAAGAAAAACTGCCCTCCTATCTTAGATCCAAAGGGAAAAGTAGAAATTGAAAGACTCCACCAATCATCTCCTGAAAGAGATCCCAAAATGAAAAGCCTCAGGAATATTCTAGCCAAATTCCAGGCTCCCAGGTCAAAGAGAAAATACTGCAAGTATGCAGAAAGAAATAATTCAAATACCACAGTGGTAGAACCACAGTCAGAATAACATAAGATTTAGCAGCTTCTACATTAAGGATCAGGGGCCTTGGAATGTGATATTCCAGAGGATAATATCCAATGAAATAGAGTATTTTCAAGCATTCTTGATGAAAATATCAAAGCTGAAAAGAAAATTTGACTTTGAAATACAAGACAAGGGAAAGTAAACAGGAAAGAGAAATCAAAAGGGATTCAATAAGATTTAACTGTTTACATTCTTACATAGGAAGATAATACTTGTAACTCCTAAGAACTTTATTATTATTAAAGCACTTAGAAGCATATGTAGACAGAGGCAATGGGTGTGAGTTGAATATGATGGGATGATATCTAAAAAAAATAAAATTAAGGGGTAAGAGAGAAATGCACTGGGAGACAGGAAAAGGAAGAGATAAAATGGGGTAAATTATCTCACATTAAAAAAGGGTTTGAAAGAGCTTTTACAGTAGAAGGGAAGATGGGGTAGGTGGGGAGTAACACTTGAACTTTGTTCTCATTGGAATTGGCACAACAAGAATAAATAAAATACACACATTTGGGTATAAAAAAAATCTTAACCTTATAGAAAAGTAGGAGGGGAAGGGGATAAGAGAAGGGAACAGGCTAATAGAAAGGAGGGCAGATTGGAGGAGGTAGTAGTCAGAAGCAAAACACTTTTGAGGATGAACACAGTGAAAAGAGAGGGAAAATTGGATAAACGGGGGAAATAGGATGAAGGAAAATGCATAGTAATCATAATTATGAAAAATGTTTACAGCAAGTTTCTCTTGTAAAAGCCTCATTTTAAAAATCTATAGAGAACTGAGTCAAATTGATAAGAATACAAGTCATTCTCCAATTGATAAATGGTCAAAGGATATGAACAGGCACTTTTCAGAAGAAGAAATCTAAGTTTCTAGAGTCATGAAAAAATGCTTTAAATCACTATTGCTTAGAGAAATGCAAATTAGAACAATCTGAGGTACCATGTCATACTTATCAGATTTTCTAATTTGACAGAAAAGGAAAGTGACAAATGTTGAAGGGAATGTGGGAAAATTGAGACACCAAAGCACTGTTGGTAGAGTTGTGAACTGATCCAATCATTCTGGAGAGCAATTTGGAACTATATCCAAGGGCTATAAAACTATGCACACCCTTTGACCTAGCAATACCACTACCAGATTTGTATCTGAAAGAGATTTTAAAAAAGAAAAAAAGGATCTATATGTACAAAAATATTTCTATCAGCTCTCTTTGTGGTGGCAAAGAATTGGAAATCAAGGGAATGCCCATCAATTAGGGAATGGCTGAATAAGGTGTGGTATATGAATGTGATAGAATACTATTGTGCTGTAAGAAATGATAAGCAGGGGCAGCCAGATGGTGCAGTG